TCCAACTTGTAGCGCACTTTACGCTCCCCCAACACTTCACAACCGTAGAGCACCGTATTGGTCACCACCGCTGACAAAACCCTTCTTCTGCCTTCGCGCGGCCCCCCACAATTCCAGAATAGTCTATGTATTTGTGTGGCCGTATTATTTGCCTTCTCGGCCGCCCGCTCCGCGTGCGCAATATAATTCAGGCTCCTGTCGATTCTCGCTCCCAGGATATCGATGTGCCTCGCCAGGGACACCTGTGTCCCGGACACTTCAATCATAGTAGAGGAAAGAAAGCCTTCTTCTTCCGGCCAGCAATGCCGCCTGGGTCTTGGGTCCCACCAGTTGCATACCGCGATCTTCCATCCACACCTGGATGTCCCTCGCCGCCATCTCGAGTTCTGTATCTGTTACCACGATCATCCGGTCGTCCGCGTATGCCACCAATTCAACCCCCCTGGGAACCCTTAACTCCATCACTGCGTCATATGTCGCATTCCACAGTAGAGGGCCTAGGACCGAGCCCTGCGGTACCCCTCCATTAATCTCAAACTTGTATTCTGCTCCCGACGGAATCTTCGCCTTTGCCATTCTTTCAGTTAAGTAACTCAGAACGAAACGTCGCAGGCTGGCAGGCACCCCTTTTCGCTCTAGGGCTTCCATGGTTACGGAGACGGGCACCGTGTTGAAGACGTTGCGGACGTTCAAGGACGTCACCACCGCCACCTCCCTGGTTCTCCGGGTCCCTCTCATTACCACCTCGACCCTGGCGTGTATTCTTTCTAGCGCGTACCCATTCCCCTCGTGAAACCGTACTGCCTAGCCGATAAAGTCAACATTTCCGCCAATCTCCCGGCCAATATTCTTTCAAACAACTTAAACAACTTGCTTAAGTGGCTGATAAGTGCAATCGGTCTCACCGTCCTTTTTGGAGATCAGGACTATTTTTCTTTCTTCCACCCCGTCCGGTAAATTCCCGTGCCCAGCACCGAATTGAAAGTCGGCCTCACTCCGGGGCCCTTTGGGCAACGCACGCGACAAACTCCGGTGGAAACCATCCACTCCCGGCGCCTTCATTCTGGGCATCCTCCTGGCCACCTCCCTAACCTCATTGTCACTGTTCGGCTCCGCCGGTTGCTCCCGGCTCTCATCGTTCCAGCTACCTGCGGCCCTCTCCTGTCTTGGAAACAAATGCCGTATCTTTTCAATCATCTCTTCATCGGTGCCTACCACTCTCTGTCTCTTTCCCAGCTTCCCGGACGCAATTTTATACGCTCTACCCCACGGGTCGCTCTCCAGCTCTGCGCACAGCTGCCTCCAGCACTGGTTTTTACTCCGGCTCATCATCTGCTCCAGGCCCTGTTGTGTTTGTGGTTTTGTCGTTATGGTTCCTAGGAGGCCCTCCAGCTCCTCCTCGTTCAACTTGTGGCCCTCCGCTGGCTCGATTGACTGGTTTCTTTGTTCCACCACTGGTCTCCAGTCTCCACGTTATATATCTATGGTCGCTGTGGGTCTCCTCCTCCTCGACCGTCCAGTACCGAGTGTCCCGTGCCTCTCTCTCGTTGGCGCGGGTGACATCAATTATTGACTTCCTATCGCCTCTCTCGTAGGTGGGACGCTTACCTCGATTAAAAGGGACGAGGTCCAGAGTAGCCAGCATCTCCTCAACTTCGACACCTCGTCTATTTGTTGCAGGAGCCCCCCAGGTGATGGAGGCCGCGTTCATATCGCCTGCCAGAAATGCTCGGCCGTTACTCGCCCCTCTTAGCTTCCGAATTATTTCTCCGAGTCATCTTTAAACATGCGTGCTCCGAAGCCCTACCCACCTCCGACAGTATTGCCACGTCCACCCTCATGACCTCGGTCGTACGTCTCAAAACGTCATATGCAGCTCTAGAATGGTTCAAATTGGCCTGCATAAATTTCATAAAAAGATATGAGGTTACGAAACAAATCAGAAAAAGTGGCTCTAACAATAACACAGACAAGTTATATCACAGACTGAAAGGTACCAGAAGCTCTATACAAATGTCTCTAGGGCTAAAAGTATCACAGAGCAGGATGTATCACAGTCAATCTTTCGAAAAACTACAATTGGATTCAGAAGGTACTGTGGAGGAAGGGACCGGAAAAACTCCAACAAAGAACTGAACCTGCTGCACCATCAGCAGTAGATATCGGTGACCAGGTACGGAAATAAAGTGTTTAGCATTTATGGAAAGAATTGAAACATGTTACGGTTTCAGTGGAAGAGAATTACCGTTGGCGCTACCAGATCTCGTATCTCATATTGTACATATACAGGGTGTTACACATAAGTATGTAAAAAAAATTGGGTGGTAGAGGAGACAAATAAAAAAAATATATATCAAGTCTATTAAGTGCGGGTCGCAAGAAGCGCTCTAAATAAACAAAATTAATCAATCACCGCTTCTCAAATTATAGCAAGGTGAACTATAAATATTTCTAATTAGTTTATGGTGGTTTTCCCTATAATGAAAACAAAACGGATTTCTTTAGCAGTGATAAATTATTAATTGTGAACCACAATATACAACGAGAACTCGACATATGCACATCAGTAGCTGGTGTAATTGAATCGATTTTATTCGTGGGGAGCATAGTTCGTCGATCCAAGAAAACTAACAAACTTTATCAATACTCCATACTCCAAATCTTTCCCGTAGTCTCCAAAGTTCTTAGCCAACTATAAGAGAATGCAAACTAATGAAGCCCGAGCAACTTATATCTTTCAACCACAAAGTTACTGAGTTACAGCCACTGATTAGATCGAAATATCAAATAAGCGGGTAATATTAAACTAAGGAGTAAGGATACCGTAACTAACCGAAAGGCATTTTAAATTTTTAGATTTGTAAAGCATTTCTATTTGTTCAATAATACGCAGCCGTTACCCAATAACTATAAATTATGGTTCGCGGATCAGTGCACTCAGCTATAATTTGCATGGAATTAAAGACCCGTGCCAAAATAAATAATCCAACAAAAAGATTCAATGTAATTCGTTCAGCTCTTTAGAGCATACAGAATGTAACGAAATAATGCAGGCGGTGCATCAATTATTATTGTAAAGCAAAAATTCCACTCATTTTTCATTTGAAGTATCTTTGAGCCGAGTTGCAGTTTACATTTTCGCTAAATTCCCGCTTACTAAAATCTGATGTGTTCGGATAAAGCTGGCCATTTAAAGCAGTAGTCTAACAAATTTAATTTATCAAGTGCTCTCGTTCAGAGCAAGTTAAAAGTAAATCCATTAAAACCCAAACCATTCAAAGGGATTCGTTTAATTAAATTGACAAATTTGTACAGCGACCATTTTATTCTGTAGGGATAACGCTAATCAACGAATGTGCGATGCCAAATACGGTTGTTGTGTTAACTCTTTAATACAATTTTAGCTGTCGTTCTAAATGCAAATAAAAGGGGTTGCTTCTCGTTGGTTGAAACAGGCAAAGGTGGTCGTTAATAAAATATCTGATTTTGTTAGCCCTATTGAGAATTGTCTGACTACGTGCGTTTTTTTTTTCTCATTTTTTAGAAACATGCTGCACGGCATTGGGTCTGCCAAATCAAAAGTAAATGTTATATAAATTAAATTGAAGCCGCGTCGCGTTTGAGATGTTTCCTATTACCAGAGAAAGAATGAGATCCAGCATTTTTTTTACAACGCTAAATTCTATATACAGTGATATTCATTAAGAAGTAGACATAGGGATATGCGCGTATTATATTGTTTTCCCTATGTCAACTTTTAAATAACATTTCTTCCAACCTATCAACCAACCTATACAAAATGCAACGCTATTGACAGAAGGATATGAATTCTGTGATAGATATGAAACAGTGAAATTTTAAAAGTAGCGTAATATTTATCACATCATTTGCATTAGGCGTTTGTAATTATGCACTAAGGCAATGCAATTGCAAAATCCAGAATGGCAGAGCAGAATGCGTGCGCATAAGTTATTTTGGTTGCATAAAATTAGGCGTCCCTCAGAACAGATTTTGTCATTTAAAAGTAGACATAGGGAAATACAATATACACAAATCCCTATGTCTACTTCTTAATGAATATCACTGTTAGATGTTTTGAAGCAGCAGTAGAAGTCGATATTTCGTAGACGTAAAACTTAGGTCAGTTGGAGGCAGATGTAACAACTGTATGTTTGGCCATTTACGAAGAAGATTATTAGAATTACAAGTATGAGAATGAAGTTTGTCTTTACCAAAATACATTCTCGAAGAAACGATGCGTATTACTATTAGATCGCTCAATAACACAATAGAACCTTTTGCACTTCCTGTAGTTTTGCTAGCGAAAGACGTCTAGGCGATTGTTGAATAGCTTCCTCACAGACACTACCGTGCTTCTTAACAGCAGCTGGTGTCCTTGGCTGCAAATCGAACTATTAGTATTGAGTGCAGAGACAGTTGTTTCTGGTGCCTTAGGTCGATGATTGTCCCTTTTTTAGTTTTCTTGCTTTTGTTGTTGACTCCAATCGTCAAGTCTTCTACAAGCCTTTGGACATTGATTCTGGAAATGACAAATTTCTCCGCAATTCCAACAATGGAGCTGCTTCTTTGTCACCATAGCCTTGACAGCTTGAACTTCAGCAGTCAATGCCGCCAACGTTTTGAACGGTGTTCTCCTTTTCTACAGCTCTAACGTTACTGCTCTTCTTCCGCCATGTAATAGTGACTATAGGTCATTTCCTCTTCACTAGTTCCGTGTAGTTAGAACGTTGTTAAGGAAGCAAGCTTTGTAATGTGTTCAACGGTTCCCTAGTAGAGCGACAATAAGGGCCATTGCCTTCTGCAAATTCGATCATCCGTTCTCATTCGCGGCCCCTTCAAACTGGATAAAATAATTTTTTTATTATACCTGAATCACAATCTCCGTTTTAAACACTGAAATGCGTGCGAAAAGGGGCCTTTAAAACACACGTGCTTTAAAGTTGCTAAGTAACGATACTTCAAGTATGACTTTTGAAACTGTCATCTGGGTGAAATAAAAAATCTTCCTAAGTCGCTTTTTGTAAATGCAGAACATTTCTTTTGCTTGTACCTATCCTTTGGTTGAAGCTTTTACAAATGCGCGTAATTTAGGGTATGCTTCCAAATCTGTCCCACTTTTTAGTCCCAGCAATAAGTGAAGTTTTGAATGAATGCACCAAAAGATAGAAGATTTAAATACCTTTGACATTTCCTTCATATATGCCAGCATTATCGATGCATTTAAGACTTTATTCGTAAGTAACTTCCTATTCCATGGAAACAACTTTTCATACGCTTGATAATAGGCTTTACTGGATTGAGATTTTACACCTACCAATGTTTGTTTAGATTTTACAACAAGCGATTTAATGGACGGTGTATTATCTTTTTCAACGGAAATCGTTTTATTCACAAAGACGACGATTTTTATAAGCAAACGTCAAGTGACATTTCCATGGCAATCGTGAAATTACGAACACCCAGCCCACTTAATTAGACATGTGTTCGAGTATAACGTCAATATGATGTGATTGAATTTCCTATTTTTAAATTATACTGTAGGTATAATAAACAAGTTGTAAATCAGCATATGCATGATTAAAGCGCATTTTTGGTAATGCAGGTCAGTATTTTATTAGCGAAGTTTAAAATTATCGATCTCACGAGCTGCGTTAAATAATTAATTTTATTTAATTAATTTCAATTGACGGTACGTCTTCATTTTGTAAAACAAATCACAAAGTAAATAATAAGTTTTTATACTGGTAGCGCTATCTAACGGTAAAATTATAGCACCTCCGAAACCCATATCGAAATTATTTTCTTCAATTATCGATCTCACCAGTAATCTAACTCAAAATAGACTAGTGCCTGCACATCTACACTATAGCAGAAAGCTTTTAGTGAAAATTTGAAGTCTCTAGCTATTGTAGTTGTGGAGATCTAACGCGGACAGCCGGCCTGCCAGCAATGACGAATATAATAGCGTATTTTTTTCAAAAATGCGCTAAAAATACTATAAGATACACGTGTATAATTGGTCTTTAAAGCACTTGCAACGTTAAAGGCACTCCGCTTTGCGTCGTGCCGTTAAACTCGTTGGGCGTGCTTTAGACTTGATTATACACTTGTATCTTAATATATAACGTCTTTCGCTATAGAAACCGTTGCACGTCATTGATTTGTGTATCAATTTCAGACATATGCTGCAACACTGCAACATGTACAAAAAAAAACAAGTGTGCGAAATCTATAGAAAACTTGTCTGAAATTGATTCATAAATCAATGACGTGCATCGGTTTTTATAGCGAAAGACGTATACTATTTATTACACCCGAATCACAATCTCTGTTTTGAACACTTATGAAACTGTCATTTGGAGCTAAATTATAAGTCTTAGGTCGCTTTCTGTAAATGCAAAAGATTTTGTTGGCTTCTACCTATCCATTGGTTGAAGCTTTCACAGACGCACGAAATTTAGGGTATGCTGTCAAATCTGTTCCCTTTTTTAATTGCTGCATTGTTGGAAGTTTTAAATGACTGCAAAATGGATAGATTTAAATACGTTTGACATTTCCATCATATATGCCAGCATTATCGATGCATTTTAGACTTTGTTCGTAAGATGCTTCATATTCATCCACGAAAACTTTTCATAATCTTTATAATGCGCTTTACTGGAATTGGATTTTGCACCTACCAACTTTTCT